CGGACTTGGATTGAAGAGTAAGCCCCCTGTTCCAGCAGAAGGCGCCCGTTCACGAGCATGACGTGTAGGCCAGCAATCGGTCCGATCAACCATTTCGTAGGGAACGGAGCGACCCAGCCCACAGCGCCACCGACTGTTGTACTCCTGCTTGAGCCGATAACTTTGTCCGCAACCCTGTCTGTTTGATTCGATTCCCGGCACGGAGGAACGGTAATAAATTCTCAGTAGACGTATGGTGGTCCTGACAGGAATCCGGTGTATAGTAATAGACTCACTCTGTATTACATGGGCCTCATAACATAAATGCTCAAAAGTGAATGTTATATTGTTTGTGTGGACCTCTGTCTACCCCCTTCAGAGTTTAAAAAGCACTACAATAAATAATATGTATGTAAAAGAAAACAATATCATATATTAGTATACTTAAATCATAGCGCTTCTGTTTCATTATCAACAGCCTACGAGTGTCCATTGCTCACACGGAGGAGGTTTGAGTATTAATCACCAAGCTTGCTCAATGCGGGTTGGCGATTTGAAACTTATAATTAGAAATAATAAGCCCATATTTCCTTACTATGTTTTCCTTCACCGTTTGTCAGTGGGGTCTAAATAATCTTAGAAAGTACATATAACTTGGAAAAAGTAACATTGGTACTTGCTGTTGGTAGGTTTAGAAGCCGCCTCTTGCATAAAAAATGGTCGTCTGAAACCGTCTGGCCACCACAACACACCTCTGCTTACCCCTTAGTCAAATAAAAGGCATAATGTTATGTTACATTAATTTTTAAATATGTATCTCACCCGTAGACGTAACTCGGTAATAAAAACTATTGTTTTAACTATATTCTCCTGGGCATCTCCCAAGGTCAAACTAAACTGTTGCATATGAACTATAGTTTGCACAGATGCTAGCTCGTTTGCGCAGTTAAAAATAAATATATTGTGTCATACATTTAACTGACTACCAAAATTAATGAGTTCTTTTACTTTTTAGTCGAGTCTGTTTTATTTTACAGCAGAATAATACATTTCTCACCAATCCTACTCCACCCGCGGGTGTCGTATACCCACCCGACTAAGGGACTACACATTTGACAGAGACCGGGCAGCAGCGCTCTCTGATAAACCTGAACCTTTTATACTGCGTTCTCCAACCCACCTGCCCGTGGAGATTATGGCAAACCCCTCTTATGTAGAGGAGGCTCATACTTCAGCAGTGGATTGTCACGGACTCCTGATGATCATTATAAACTTCTTCATGGTATCTTACACCAAACACCTGGTTATCTAACTTACCATTTTTCAAAAAAAAATCGGTCTTCTATCGGATACATTTCGGTGAGTGTGCGTGGGAATTGCACAAACTTATTCCCCCTAGTCCATTTCACCACCATACCTCCAGACGAACGTCAGGGCTTCACCCTTATATGGTGGACATTCCACCCATTCGCACGAAGCGCTTCGCGTCAAGCTTCCTCATGCAAACGGCTAAGGAATGGAATTCCTTGCCGGAGTCTGTGTTTCCCGTTAATATGACTTGGGTGTCTTGAAGTCCCGAGTGAACAGGTTGCTCATAGGTAGGCGTGCTCCATCGTCGGCCACATCATTGCTTACCACCATGCGACGAAATGGTGGCCAAACGGCGACCTATCAAGTATAAAAACAACTGCCGGCAAAAAAAATTGTAATTATTTTTCCTACATACATAACATCACGCCTTTTATCCCCGAAAGGGTGCCTACCCTTTCGGTGAGGAGAGGTGCACACTATACCACTCTACAAT